AGAGAAAAATGAAAAAACTCTTGCAAATGAGTCTTCAATACGCAAAAAGCGTGGCAGACCACTTGGTTCAAAAGATGTAAAACCAAGAAAATTTAAAAGGCAAGAGACAATATTTGAAACAAAAGATGTTCATTCTTCAAGGAAAGAAAATGAACAAATCGAGCATGTTGATATAAAAAATAATATCAACGAACAATTTGTTTCAAATGAGGATTTAACAATCTCTGAAGATGCGAATAATTCAGATGAAGATAGAAACGTTGATAATTATGAAATCTCAATAAATTATGTTTCTACCGGATTGCAATGGAACAGAAAAGATGTTCATGTTGATGATATATTCGCATATGCCATTGCCACAAACATCATGGATGAAAATGATGACATTGAGCCAACTTCAGTTGATGAATGTCGACGTAGACATGATTGGCCAAAATGGAACGAAGCAATTCAGGCAGAATTGAAATCAATTGAAAAACGAAGTGTTTTTGGACCTATAGTTCCTACCCCAAAAGGCCTGAAACCAGTTGGTTTCAAATGGGTTTTTGTGCGCAAGCGCAATGAGAAAAATGAAATTGTGAGATATAAAGCCCGACTCGTTGTGAGATATAAAGCCCAAGGTTTTTCTCAAATCCCGCGATAGATTATGAAGAAACTTATTCCCTAGTAGTTGATGCAACTACGTTGAGATTTTTGATAGGCATGTCTGTTTTTGAAAAACTTCAAATGCGTTTAATGGATGTAGTGACAGCATATTTATATGGATCTCTCGATACGGATATATATATGAAAGTTCCTGGAGGCCTTAAATTGCCTGAGGTTTATAGTTCAAAAAATCGAGAGATGTTTTCCATAAAATTGGAAAAGTCACTATATGGACTAAAACAATCTGGCAGAATGTAGTATAATCGTCTCAGTGAATATCTGCTTAGAGAAGGATACAAAAATGATCCAATTAGTCCATGTGTTTTCATCCGCAGATCTAAATCAGGCTTTGCCATTATTGCAGTATATGTTGATGATTTAAACATCATTGGAACATCTGATGAAATAGAAAATACTGCAAAATATCTCATGAAAGAATTTGAGATGAAAGATCTTGGAAGAACAAAATTCTGTCTTGGTCTTCAAATTGACCATTTGAAAGACGGAATATTCATCCACGAGTCAAATTACACGAAGAAGGTTTTGAAGCGGTTTTATATGGATAAAGCACATCCTCTCGCATCCCCGATGGTTGTCCGCTCTCTCAATGTACATGATGACCCGTTCCGACCTCGTGAAGATGATGAAGAAATACTCGGTCCTGAGATACCATATCTGAGTGCTATTGGAGCTTTGATGTATCTAGCAAACAACACTCGGCCAGATATTGCATTCTCAGTGAACTTGTTAGCCAGACACAGCTCGACCCCGACTAGGAGGCATTGGAATGGCATTAAACATATTTTGCGATATCTCAATGGTACCATCGACCTTGGTTTATTCTACCGCAAAGATGCCAAGGCCACTCTTGTTGGATACGCTGATGCAGGATATTTGTCTGATCTGCAAAAAGCAAAATCTCAAACAGGATATGTGTTTACTTATGGAGATACCGCAATATCATGGAGATCGATGAAGCAAACTTTGACTGCCACATCATCAAATCACACGGAGTTGATAGCTCTCTACGAAACAGGTAGAGAATGTGTATGGTTGCGATCAATGATTCAACATATCCAGAGCGGGTGCGGTATAGAAACAATTACTAGTCATCCGACTCCTATATATGAAGACAATACTGCATGCATTGCTCAAGTGAAAGGAGGTTACATCAAAGGAGACCGAACAAAGCATATATCACCAAAGTTCTTCTCAACACATGATCTCGAGAAAGATGGAAAGGTTGACATCAAGCAAATCAAGTCCAGTGAGAACCTTGCTGATTTATTTACAAAAGCATTGCCCCCAAAGAAATTTGAAGAACTC